TTTTACCGAAATATTATACACCCAACTGCTGTACGTAACACAATTTGTAACGTTTTGCCGAAATTCAGTAAGATTAAGATACAATAACACGAAGAACAAGTATTAATTTTGAAATCAAACAACAAAAATCAGCGTTATATTTTCAAATCTTCACAGGAAAATTTGAAAATATTACGCTGATTTTTCTTGTTTGACTTAAATTAATTCAGTTTATTTGAATTAATTCAGTAATAGATTATAAATTATCAAAATACTAAAACAAAATTTTAACTTGTTTATATTTTCTTTTTACGATATTCCAATAATGTAAATCTGTGCGATGTTAACTAAAACTATTACGTATTTTAAAGAAGTAAAATGAGCCTGCCCTTCTCCCTCCAAAAGTCTTATTTTTCCTATTTTGTTATATTTTTATAAATGTATACTTTTAATAAGCAGTCGGTTCGACTTTAGGGATTGCACTTTTATTGGTTTTATATGTGCTTCTATAACGTGCAAGCTTCACTTAAATTTCTGGGCACTTTTCAGAATGTAAATAAATATATGCAAGGCATCTTAGTAGCAGAGTTATAAACTTGCAGAAGGGGTATGACGCACTTAGACGGCTCGGAATCGCATAACAATGGAGGATTGGTAGACGGAGCTACTTAATCATTAGATATGGACAGTAATGGACTGAGTTTGATGATTCGGTGCATTAGTCTGCTCGATTGCCAGACCTAATCATGCCTTGATTAATTCTGCCGAGGGCGAATGGAAACATTGGTGTATGACACCTTGTTGACAATTCCGAGGAACCGCACGCATTGTAGTAGCTGCTGGCGTAGTCCGAGTCATGGCTGACATTTTCCAGAATAGTTAGAATTCCATGCGCTAGAGATGTGACGTCTCCATTATAGCTGGTAAAGGACATTTCGACCACCTGATTTGACCTCTGTTGTTTTTGTAAACGCAGATTTGTTCTCTCATATTTTACGATATGTCCATTCGTGTCGTTTCCAACTCTACATTGCTATGAGATTCTGAATCGTCTGGGTGCACCGTCATCTATACTACAAGTTGAAAACCCTGGCATTGAAACATCCGGTATATATGACTCGAAATTTGAGCTATAATTGCAGTAGAAGCTGTTATGTGTCAGGTTTTATGAGTAATGTTCTGAGCTTCTATTTTCCACATTTAGTTTTTCAATGGCTTTTTAAATTAGAATTTGTTTCTTCAAAAGCACAATACATTCTGCTTCCAAGTCATCTCGTCCATTTTGAAAACTCTAAAATCCAGTATTTTGCTTTTCATTAAATTTAAACTTTCTGTAGAGCATAGCTTACTTAATATTTTAATATGAAACAAAAGTAGCTCGTAACACATATGCGTAATTTTCAGACTTAAGAGGAAAGTATATCGATTTCTATCATATATTGCATTGGCGTTCTTTAACTTCATGTATCGGGCCGGTGCATAAGTTCGTGCCGTTCTGTTGGTTTGAAGTTTTTTCCATGACGGGATTCCATTTGTATAAAATCCACTACAAAACAATACAATAGAACACACTATCACAAGACATTGAAACGCTAGGTCATAAATCAATAATGACTCACTGATTCACTCAATGATGTAATCTTCACCTTCGTCCACGATTGCCTACCAGCGTTCAGGTAGGACTTCAGTGCCTCTCCTGTAAAGGTGTTGTGATTTCGAGTTGAAGAAATCTGTTAACCAGTTGCTAAGAGAAGCTTCATCAGGAAGCCCTTGTCCCTGAATGTTGTTGGAGAGAAACCGGAAAAGATGGTAATCAGAAGGACGATAAATGAGTCGAAAGTGTCCGCTTTTCTCTACTTGTCACTCCATACCGATTAGCCTTGAAAAGCCGAAACGAGTTGTTAAAAACTTACAAGCTCTTGTTCGAAACAATCAAACTCCAAACAGAAGAGAAACAATTGAATACTGAAAAGGCTCCAAAATACTGTGCTGCCACCCCAATGAAGAACGACACGGACTTATGTACCTAACCAATATTTGGATTTTTTAATCTAAAGTTTGTTTAGTTTTATATAACTGCAATTACAGAAATCTATAGGTTTTGATATACCATATTTTTCGGTGTATAAGGCGCACGCAATTCTTCACGAATAAACCTAAAAGGTACATGTGCAAGGCTGTTGTCTTTTGAGGTCACTTATTCGAAGATTTGGCCTAGCCTTTTGAACAATGGTATACCGAATTGACGAGAGATAAGGGGGACAATATGTGTGGGTTAAATGCTTGAGGGAGTGAATATTCCTTAAACAGTGTGGATTGTATTCAATGCAAGTATCCAAAAGAGTTCTATTGTAGAGTTTTGAGAAAAAAAGGCGATGATTTGGAGTAAATTTGCATTGCCAACCCAAAAGAATTCGCGGAATTAGGCTTCAGATGTTTTCTCCTTCTGTAGTCATTTGAAGCTGTGATTTTGAATGAACAGGTTTGAGTTGAAGTACGGTTAATCTAGTGTTCCTTTTAGTAGTAAATGTGGCTCCTGCCAAACGAAACAACGCAGTGCTGCTTTCAAATGCAGTCATTTCATTTGCGAAAGAAAATGGAAATTGTGCTGCAGCAAGGATGTCTGGTGTGGGTAAAATATGGAATCAATGATGATAATTTATTTATGGATCAGATTAACAGTGGTGATGAAGATGAAACAGAATACTATGATGTGCGTGAAGATGACGAACATGACAAACGCTTCATGTTATCCGATAATGGAAATTTTTGAAGTTCAAAAGTATGTTTTTTCTCTTAAATAAACAGCATAAGTACAAATGCAACTCTTGTATGCTGACTTTTTCCATATTTTTAAGCTATCATTTTCATATGCGGCGTATAAAGCGCACATGTAAATTTCGATCATAATTTTAGTGTTAAACGCATTATACGTCTAAATATATAAGGTAAGTTTTAAATAAATAATTAAGTACATTATCAATATTTGAAAAAAAAAATAAGAATTTTGTGAACGTGAAAAATTAAAAAGCCAAATTTCAGACGCGATGACGAAGTGTATGAAGAAACACGTATTTTACAGGTTTTTTATTTAAAATTATTACACATATTTATTTAAAATTATTGCCCGAGACAGCACTATTTTCGTTTCAAGGAAAACTCAGATAACAAGAATTAAACGTACAAATTTATTAATCTAAAATTTTCCGGAGAGAAATTTAAAGCTTTGGTTGCTGTAGAAAGCTGTAAAAGTATGATCAGTGATTATAGTCAACAATATGAATGTAGCCCTGTAAAAAGTTTTTAAAAAAATTATTAACACAACCTAATGTAAAACGAAAGAAAAAAATCTGATGTGTACACCACACGACTTCTTTGTACGGAATATTAAATTTTTTCTTGCATTTCATTTAAACTTATTGGATTGAAATAAATCTACTTCGACAGCGCATAAACCACAATATAATAAATGCATTCTTTAAAATTCACTCTATTTGTTTACCATAGCGACACTCTGGCGCTAGGTTCACTTAACAGTATTATATTTCGTTCATATTATAACTCAGAATGGACAACATTTATATCATTTAAAGAATTATCTAATCGTTGCCACATGTTCTATTCAAGTACTATAATAAAGCTAGAACGATGTATAAAAGAAATAAAGCAAACAAAACAAAAAGAAACAGTTTTTTACAGACGATTGAGTACTTCTCATTCAATTAATTCAGTTCTCCCTTCGCGACGAGGCAAAAATACATAAAAACTCAAAATATCTGTATTAAAAATTACGACGTAACAAACACTTATTTTATTATCCAGAAAGGATTAAGCATGATTTAATTCCCAATAATAAATGAACGCGTTATCTTTGTTGCTGCGAAGCTAAGTTTCTCTAGCTTGACAACAAATCCACTATTCTGCTGTTTCAAATGTAAACAAGCAATGGCCGCCATCAAAAACATTATTAGGTTTAGCGGTACTTAAACAACTTTAAAATTGTTGATAATTCTAAAAATATTGCATCCAGATTTATTAAAGGCATAAAAACCTGAACCGGAAGATAAGAGCAACATAATTCAATCATTTGTAAAGCAAAATTTGTACAATTTACAAACACATAAGAGTAAAGAAACTGAGATCACTGAGCCGGGTAACAGAGTGGATATATATATAAATATATTTATATACGTTTTGTGCGGCCGATTGCAACCAAACTACGAGCTGCACATCTACATGTATTAGCAGTCCTATATACAAAATTTCAAAGTTCTGAGGCTACTCGTTTTTGAGTTATGCGAGATACATACGTTCGTACAGACGCCACGAAAAATTCTCTTCAGAATTCATTTTAAAGCAGTTTATAATTTTTTGGAGGAAAAGACTCTTTTATTCTGTTCTTACGTACAGATATCACGCAAAAAACATCGTTGAATTTCATTCGATAGCGGTCAGAATGGATATTTTCGTTGAAATATGCTGCCGGAAACTTTTCGCGATTACAATACTTCCTTTTTACTTCGTACAGGGAAGTAGAAAGTTAAACAGAAACTAAAGCCGCTACTAGACTTCCTGGAATATACTCTGCCGCTCATTGTTACGCTGGTAGTGAGTCTTCCCGAGCTTCTTTGTGGAGATAGATGGAGGCATTGCTTCCAGGCATGACAGGGAAAAACATTGAAATACGTAATAAACCCAGTCTAAATGTTAGCTGTATTAGAACGAAATTATTTTCCCGATTTTAATTTCATACTGCTTAGAAGTGGGAAAAAATAAATTATCCTTTCACACGGTTTATTATGATCGTAAATAATTGAAATGGCCTTTTTTAAAAAAATCCCGCCTTTTGATTTCTTTCGGAAAAGTAACACTTACTTAAGAATGTGAAGTCATACTGTTTTTATTTTACAATTGTGTATTTTTGAATTGAGGATTTATTAATTTCTTTGCTATATCGAAATATAATTACTTTTATAAATATTTATTTTTATATAATTAACTTTAGATCTTTTCCTTTATAGGTTAGCACCCACAAAAAAATAAACGTTCCCTAGAAAGATATACTCACCAATTTGATGCCTTGAGCAAGAAAACTTTCTTCAGTCATCTTCTTCTTTTGACTGTGCTAAAATTTTTCCTAAAAGTAAGAAATATATCTCATATACCAGAAAATTTCATTATTTGTCAAATTATTTTGTAAATTTATAATGTCAAAAATGAGTTTAAGTAAATAGAATCGTATAAAGATTTAATGAAAATACGTATAATTTATTTGAATACAGCTCATAACTAAGAGAACCTGTTGCTCATGCTAGAAAATTCTTTTTAAATTAAGTGGTATTTTTGCAATGTATGAATGAACAATTAAACGATTTTTTTTTCAAAGGCATATCTACCATGCGAAAAAATTAAGAAGATTAAGTGTATTTATTAGCCGAAACGGGCGGCAGAAGGGCTATTAGTCTCAAAACGGCATTTTGTGGCTTTTCACGACAAACCGCGAATCACTTTTTAAATTGTTGCCATCAAATATTATCGTCTTGTATTATATTTAAAGGAATTAAGTAATTAAGAAGCTCAATGTATATATGTTTCTCGCATTCTGAAACAACCACGGTGAAATGAAATTTTGAATAATGTAATCCTCCACCCGAACATAGGAAGTCCGAATTTTGTATTTCGAATTTGTTTGATTATCTATTTCATATTATGTGAAACTTTAACAAATTTTTGATTAACAAACTCAAAGATTTTAAAGTGAGCAATTGCAACGCTACACAGAAAAAAAGAATACCTCCAGTGCGCGAGATTGCCTATCGGAAATTCTTAAGGTATCCTGTTTTGAAATATTTTGTGGTATTGCTGTTGAATTGAATTTTATGCCGTTTAAGAGCGAAAAACATGTTTAATAAATAAAGGTAACACACAAAATGTAAAACAAAAACGGCCCTTTAGGCGTAATGTAAAATTTGAAAGGTTTCAGATTTTTTTAGTCCAAAGGGATTTGAATCCCGAAGGACTATTAGTTTCGTTTTGGCATTTTGCGTCGGACTCATAAATGTCGGTTCACTTTTCAAACTGTTGCCACAAAATGTTAGAGTCCTGCATTATATTTGAAGAAATTAAATAATGAAAAATCTGCATAAATGTATGTATATTTCTCGTATTGTGATAAAACAACGGTACATAGAGTCATCATCGAATTTTGAATAACGTAATCCTCCAACGAATATGAGCATGTGGAAGACCAAATTTGAAATTTGAAATTTGTTTTATGATCGATTTCCTATTTTTTTTAAAACTTTGACGAATTTTTGATTAACAAACTCAAGGATTTCAAAGCGAGCAATGGCAACGTTGTGCAGAAAAAACATTTTTATCTCCAGCGCGTGAGTCTCTGTATCGGAAATTCTAAAGATATGCTCGTTTTAAAACTATTTTGCGATATTGCTGTTGCACTGGATCTTATGGTTTAAGTGCGAGGAACATGATATTTAATAAAGAAAGGTAACACACAAAATGTTAAAAAACGCCCCTTTGGACGTAATTTAAAATCTGAAACATTTCAGATTTTTTTTTTTTTTTTTAATTTTAAGCGACAATTTCTTTACTTAATGTGATCATGTATTTTTCTAAACCACTATTAACGTAAAACAAATGTTCCTATTTGACTTTTATACTCGAAAAATGATGTCCCTAAGATGTAACTTGATGTCTTTAAGCGTATCCGATAGGGCTAAAGCAAAGATCTTCCAATAATAAATGATAGCGAAGAGACATTATATCGCTCGAAAGAACTAGAACTACTTACGTAAAGACTATTGAAGTAAAGAAGCACTCTAAAATATTTCTTACCCTTCGTTGTCTAGATACGAAAAAACAAATGTAACGTTTTTGAATTGACGTTGAAATTTGTATGCGAGATTGCTGCTATAATATGTAGTTGTGCACGTCCCTTTTTGTTTGCAATCGGCCTCAACAAAAGTATATAAACATAAATATATATATGTCCACTATGTTACTCGGTTCCGTGAGGTCAGTCTTTTTATTCTTATATGTTGGTAAATTGCGCATTTTTTGCTTTAAAGGTGATTGAATTCTGTTGTTCGTATCTTTGGTTAAGGTTTTTATGCCTTTAGTTATTCTGCATGCGATAGTCGTAGAATTATCAACAATTTAAAAGCTGTTTAAGTGCGGCTAAGCCTAATTACTTCCTTGTACGAAGTAAAGAAAGTACTGTAATCACTAAAAATTCCGGATACTATGTTTCAACTAAAATATCCATTGGGATCTCTATCGAATGCAATTTAGCAATGTTTCTGCGTGACATCTGTACGTACGACATAAAGAAGGACTAAGAATTATTCCCCTTACATTTTATAATAAGTCAGTTACAAGTTTTAAATAGTATTTAAAAAATAATCCTTACTTTATTCCCTTTCAGAAATATTCAGAGAAAGTTAAGTATTATTTAAAGTATTTTGCTATTTAATTAAAAGGTGCTCTAATTTTAAATGAACCGAATAGATCATTAATTATAAATTGACTTGTATTTTTTGATTTAAAAGATGCCTTAGAAGACAAAAAATCATGTCATATTTAAGAAAGTATTTTAGGAAGAAGCTCTATAAATAGAAAAGAAATAATGCATAATTTTAATATTAATAATACAATAAATTTTGATCTTAATTTTTGTACCTTAACCGGATAAAATCGAATTACCTTAACATTTTTTCTAATGTAATTAACGAAAACTTGTGAAAATATTTCATTCAAATTAAACCATTCCGAGAAAAATGTTCTGTGAAAATTATAGCATTTAATTCCATTCAGAATGAAATGTTATTTAAAAATGTGTGGTTTTCATATACTTAGGACTCTGAAGTGTTGTAGAAAAAGAAAATATATACATTTATATGTATATTTACGACGTAATTACAAAATATCTACGTCCGATCGCGTCAAAACCTATTGAACTTAATGGTAAATGACCCAATGTTTTGGTCAACTAAGTAGGGATCGCCAGTGCTTCAGAGCAGGGTACGAGAGAAACTTGTTAGTGCAACTCCATCTTACTTCCTACCTCCATGGTTCCTGCTGATAAATAATAGGCGTACTGCAGTATTTGTATTTAGCTCATTACATACACAGGTTCAAAGGGCCAATCTTCGCGTTAATAATCTCTGTAAAGTATTTAAGTTTAATTATTATTTATTGAAGTTAATTGTTAAGTGAATATTTCTTATTTTTTACGTTTTAGATGAAAAGTATTGGTCAGCGGCTATGTGAAATAAAGGGTCAAGTTAACCCTTCTTAACCTGTTTGTCTGTCCGGCGTACACACCAACATAGCTTGAGTAAGCTCCCTGTTCCCACTCAGGATTCCAGTAATGTTCCCCATATCAGAAACAGTAGTCCTGACAAGATGTTCCTAAAACATTTATGGAGTTATTGACAGTGGCTGTTACATTTTTCAAGCGTTTCATTTTGAAAACGTTTTAGTAAAATTCAATATAACTGTTCTAAAGTGGTTTATTAGGTAAGAAATTGAATCCATTTCCATGATGCTATTTAAAAGTTACTTTTTTCCTTATGTTTGATACGTCAAAGCATAGACATGTTAAACAATTGCACATCTGTTGTTTAGGCCTACTAACTATATTTATCACCATAACGAGAGAATTGTACTCCGGAGTTAACGATTTCTTTTACGTATCTGTAAAATGATATTTTGGGGGGTACATTCACCATTTAGCTATAATTCTGTACATCGCTACGCGGTGCAAACACTTAACCGCTGTAGATTACTGCAAGGCTACTATGGACAGGAAAAATTCTTTTAGTTAGTGGTCTTCATGTTTTAGATTAGAAATGTCTTGTTACAGCTAGTTGATGGATTAAAATGTGTATGTCGATTTTTTTTCCTCAGACATTAGAAGCATAACCCTTTTTCGAACGACTGTTTTTTCGTTTTTAAATACGGTACAGAAGTTGTTGTAAACATCTAGTTGCCTAAAGTATTTTCATATAATTAGATTCTTAAACATAATAATCAGGAGAGAAGTCACCTTCAACTTTCCATCATAGACGTATCGTCCTCAGGGTCGATGGACTGCAGTTTGACAGCTTAAATCAATTATCTCATACTGGTCACACGCGATCTGAATATGTTGTTAGATAGTTAACAGTCAAGGGGATTTTGTCTCATCTTATGTACAGTGTTATGCATTCTGCTTCAAACGATATGGTATTTAATTGTTGATAGTGTTTGCACGCTGATACGACGAACTGCGCGATAAATCCATCCACCTCTGGTGAAGACGAATTTGAAAGCATCAGTTCGTTACAGTGAAGCCTCTTTATTTTATTAATTATTAGAATAATTTTTTAACTGGGTTGCCCCTTTGCGCACTCGTGGTCATGTATATCATAATAAAAACGATAAATAATTGTATCTGCACATATATTGCCAAAGTATTCGATAATGCCGCCCAGACGGAAAAGTGGCCTGCTGTTAGGAAGGTCCAGGTTCGAGTCTCAGAAAAGGTATGGATGTAATTTGTTCGTCCCTTCATAAAAGGTTACGCTGGCCCACCTGTTAGGTGCCTCCATAATAAAAGAGACCAAAAAATGCCTATAAACGCCTATAGCCCGCCATTGGGGGAAAATAAAGTATTCGATCATTTTCAGAGCCACAATGATTGTAAACAACTGGTACATTAAAAAACTGCAAAACAGAACTTGTAGAAAATTATGGATATTTTGTAACATCATTCAAAAAAGAACCTTTATAAAGATGCGAACTTAATGTTGACAATGCGGGATTATTTTTTTAACAAGGATATTCAAGCTGAAAACAAAATGAGGAAATTCTCTAACTTTTTCAGGATTTGAAAATATTTTCCCTGTCTTTGCTTTTTTGCTACCCACGCTAACAATTCCAGTAAACAGGAATTTAATATTCTTCCAAAAATATATCGTCGATATTTCTTCTGGACATGTTATGTTGCGAAAGTTTCCAATGACATATTATCTTTTTCATTTCCACGAGCATCCGTCGAATGAACCAAACAAAAAGTTTTATATTGCGTTTATGGATTTCACACAGAACAAGGGAAAAACAAATAAAATCTGCGAAAACTGTTTATCTTCGGAAAGTATTCAATTCTTTACATCAACATGATGTACATGATGCAGAGTTAAATTTTGGACTTTAATTTATATAATAACTGCTTTAATTACAAATGTGAAAAACAGTGTAAAAAACAGTAAATAGAATTTTTGTTAATCTATTTTTACGGCTGGTAGCTCGGGCCGAGATTCGAGTCCCGGTGAACGGGCTGGCTGCAAGGGCGTTTTCGTGTTTTTCTCCATGGGTAACGTGAATACGAGCCAGTTTCCCTTTGACAGACCTTCACGGGGCATCTCTTCCTTTCCGTGTAGTGCCTAAGGCCAGAACATTTACAGAAATAAAAAAATCTATTTTTATTTCTGTAAATAAAAGGAGTATATAATTTTGGTTGCGTGTGCGTAATATCTTGATGATTGTGCGATATCTGCAATAGACTGTAGATGGTGGCATTGCAATAGACTGGAGCCTTGGCGAAAGCTTTTCTGCGTAGATACAAAGGTGACATTTACAGGTGACAGGTGACGGAGGACGAGGGCGCCTGATATTTAACATAGGTAAACAGGCATATGCCCCGCGTCCTCCACTATCTAGTGGCAACAACTCCCTGGAGCCCCATGAGGCTGCCTCGGGAGTTTATTTGTATCTTAATGAGAAAGTTACATGTCCATACAAGGGCGGTTGACATAGTCTACAGTACGAGTGATGTGTATGACATTTGAAAGTTTTAGGATTACAGTGGTTACAGGGAATTTAAGGGGAAAAAGGGGGACATAACAATATAAGACGTAATACATATAACAGCATTGAATAACCTGAAACACATAACACTTATAACATTTAGGACATACAGTACACATAAAAACATTTACAATACACATAAGATATTCACAGACTACTAACTCACAGACTACTAATGCATTCATATAATGATGCTCTTAAAACATAGGATGCTGCTGGGGAGATATGATACCATGTGATATATAAAAACGTGTAATAATACTGGTATAAAAACGTGTGATAATCATAAGAGCAGAGATACAGGATGTGAAAGTGAAAACAGAGATAAAACATGTGATACATGAAAACACATGGTGCATAAAGCACGCGTATAAAGCATGCGTGTATATGTTGTTATACTAATTGAAACACATGATGCAGAGACAGTTATAAGACAGATAATAACATAAGTTGTAAATAATTTATTAGCAATGAACTCTTGGTGTTAATATGAAACTCTGGTGATACCTCTGTTAAGAGGTGCGGACCAGATACTCACTTTCATGTTAAATGAAACAGATGGTAGTATATGAGTAATAATGCTTATGGTGAGACAACTTATAGTGCACGAACCTAGGCTAACACATGATAGGAGTACATGATGCAGAGCAAATATGTTAATAGTATATACACATGATGCAGACCAAATATAGAGCTAATTAAAAGACATGATTTAGGGCAACTATAATACTGATAAAAACACATGACTTTGGGCAGATATGATGCTATTTAAAAGCACATCATGCAGGACAGAGATGATACTAATGAAAAACCCATGATGAAGAACAGATAAATAGCTTATTGGCACACATGATACAGGGCATATATTATACTAATAGAAACGCACGATGAAAAGTAGATATAATACAAATGGGAGCATATGATTTAAATAAATATTAAGGTAAACAGTTGGTGCTAGAACATATGATAGTATGTGTGTAGTAATATTTTAATGACACAACTCATAGTGCACGAGCCTAGGCGAACATATGATAGAAACACTTTATGCAGAGCGGGTAAGATGCTGATATATACACATAATGAGGAGCAAATATAGAGTTAATTAATAAACGTGACATAGGGCAGGTATGATACTAATAAAGATACATGAAAATACATTATGCAGTGCAGTTTAAGTTCTAATGAACACGCATGATGCAGATCAGATATGAAAAAAAATAGCCACATGCCTGAACAGACTTGGCCGAAGACAAGAAATAATTTATTGCTGAACAGCTAATCCTTGATACACATATTATTATTCATATACGTATCATCAGGGGCGCAATATACACCATACAATATTTGAAAGCCTATATCTTAAGACAACGGATGACACACAGAAATTAGCCGCTTTATGTTAGCATACAAGTTAATGCAGAGAAATCAGTACACATTCAAAAGAAGCGCGGCAGATTCAAAATGTATCTCGATCTGCGATTAGATAAGAGGTGTCTGCATTGCAGGATTACGAAAGAAAGCATGATGCGGATTAATTTTGAAATGACAAACTTTAGATTCATATATTGTAAACACTTACTATTTTTACGACAAAAAAGAAAATTAGAATGAAAAATAATCAGACTATTGACAAATTAACTATTGGACTGTTGACTTATTTTTGTTTTCATATTCGTAACTTGCACAAATTGAGAAATTTTTTAAAACGTTTTAATTACACCTTAGCAAATTTGTATGTACTCGACAATAGGATTAGTATACTTCTTCCTTATTCTAAAAAATTGACATCACTGGAAGACCGTCGCAGTGGTAAGTTTGCAGATATTTATTACACATGTAAGGTATTTATGTTAATTAAGAAGTTATTTTATGTTATGAATCTATACTGTCACTTCTTTCTTTCCATTTTTCTGTAAGAATGCAAATTAGCTAGTTTGTATTTAAGTGACCATTTGAGATTGTTTTAGTCAGAGCGTGTTCTGCCTGCTGAAGACCACGTTATTAGCTGTTATTTTTCGATAAGCATTTCTGTCTACGGCGTAGCTTTATTTTCACCGATAATGCTGTCACGGTGTAGGTTAAGGCTGCGTTCAGACGGCGACGTAAATGTCACAGAGGCATACGAACTTTATGCCAAGAGCCGTTAACTAGATTTGTGACGTAGCGAAGACTGGTTCTTAAGAACGCATCTCAAGAGGCAAATTGAGCCCTTAAATATCTCTACGTAGCCTTTGGCTAACAAAATCTTAGATGTAGTTTTAATTTAAAATTCTACGTTTGAGTTCACTCCTTAAGTGCTAGCTGATTTGTAAGCACCGGGAGTGTCTTCCGTTCAGTTTATTGAGTTCTTAACAAAAAGGTCTTTTAGACCTTTAGCATGTCTCTGTTATACTTTCCAAGACTTAGCGATAACTCGCTGAGAGTTTTAGTTTGTCTTGACTTAGTGTATATGTTACCGAAACAAGTGAGTCTCTAAACTGTAGCGCCCGAACTGAAAGCTGATGGACGGTAGTTGACCACCAACAAGATTTGGCGATTGGGTCCGCTAGGGCCTAGCACCCTTTAAAAGAGGCAGTATATAAATTATTTTTCCCTCATTTCTGCATGCTTTCGTCATGTAACTGAAAGCGCGTTCCGTGTATATTCAGGAAATCCGGAATTCGTAATCC